CTGTTTCTCGTCTAGCTGTATCAACAGCAGGAGGGACAAGTACAACACATATTTCATACCTTGATGCACAATCTCCAGTTGATCTAAAATTACCAGCAACAAATCGATTAATCAAATTCGATGTATGGGAATCGAATAACCTGCAACCGAATAAAACACAATCAAGGTAAGTATATCAACATATTCTCGATGTAAATTATTACTATTGTTTGCTGCGGTTATAGTCTAATTCCTGGTTTTGCAAAACGAAAATTTATATGCGGCATATCGATGGGGTTACTCATATGTATGATACCACTGGCTGTGCTAACAGCACTTTGGATAAAGTCAAGTACAAATGATTCGACAAGTACGAAAGCCCTCTCTCTGGTTATACTTCTACCCTTAGCACGATAGGGTAGGAGCGGCCCATGAGATGGTGAATTTTTTATCAGCACTATGCGTATTGTAATTGATCGCTCGTGCAAGTCAGTTATAACTATTTTCTGATTCGCCATGGTCGGCTAATTCTCTGATATCGATTTCATCGCTAAGAACTGTGTGCTTTACAGTTTAATGCATTTTTGTTTAGTGGAGAGCGACAGCAGCATAATATTTTTATGATCTTAGAATTTCAGTCAACGGAATGTATTTCAAGACTTTAAATTCGACTGATATGTATTTTATTATACATATATCACTTCCTGATTATGGAATTCATTAGTTACGGTACGCATAGTGATGATGAAAAAATCCAAGATCTCGTCTGCTCCTACGAATAACTTTGTAAAACTGGCTCAGCTGAACTTTCTGTGATTCGATGAAGAAAATAAACATTGCCACGATGACCGGCACATCTGGTTGTCTATAGAACATGTGCTTTTGAGATTGCTGGGCAGTAGAAGATAGGGTCGTCGTCAGAGAATGCCTATAGCTCCGGGACCATAAGGACCAGAAATTTGAAACTTGTGTAGAATTGTAGAGAACGATAAGAAGGATCGAGTACATTACTCTGCGTTTGCAAATCATCTTTTTTTAGTATCGTAGCAGCCTTATCTTTCAAAGATCAAGCTGGTACACCATCTGCAGGTGGTGTCGGCGTCAGGAATTTTTCTTATCCTTATGCCTTCAAGTCTTGGCTACATAGTGGTGAAAATCACAAGTTTCTATCTTTTTTTCTGTCGAAAGTTGTTCTAAAAATGTCCGGGGGCGTTATATTTTGAAACTGATAGTAGTTCAGAGAACATTCATCCACTCAATAAACAGAGGGTGTTAGCAAAACAGTTTTCAGTTACTCACGGGACATTTAGTCCAAAACAGCGTTCCTTTTCGGCAGTAAATCTGAACGTCTTCGCGAATAAATCGTCTCGGATTAGGGTTTCTTATCAACCTGCTACTCTTAACGAAAAGTTTATTTACAGGTCATTTTGAACTTCACAGAAAATTCTCTATTTTCGTGTGTATGTAAGACTTACTTTGGTCAAGAAATTCGAAATTTTATGCAAACTATGAGAAGCAAGGTGGATACGAAAAAAAGTTCAAAAGAACCATTACCTATTGCATACAAGATGGAGAAAAAACCGTAAGAAAAACCGTGAAGTCAATAACCAGCGAAAGAAAACCGTGTAGGAGAATCCTGAGGTAGAAAATTACATCGTGAAAACCGTGAAAGTCAGAATTATAAAAGAAAAACTACTGAAGTAAAACCTCAAAGGTTAAAGCCATAAAAACAAAATCGTCCAATTTTGAATCAACGAAGGAAAACCTTGAAATAAAACCGTCAGTTAGAGAACTGTGAAATTAAAACCATGAAAAAATATCGTACAGTTCAAAACTGTAGAAATAAAATCATGAACTAACAGTCTGACAAAGAAAAACAATGAAAATAAAAGCGCGAAGAAGAAGACCGTGAAAGAATTTTTCGTGCTTTTTAGTTGACGGCTTTATCAAAGCTTCGAAATTCATAAAAACTGTGCAGTTCCAGCCGTTAGCGCATCAGGAAGTCTTCCTCATAAACTAACGTAAGTTTAATAGAGTAAGTCTTGAGATTTTCAACAAATCTATCTCACAACCAGGAATATTCAATAAAAAGCTTTGGCTGGGCAGTTAAACACATGGGCAAAACTATCAGGAAAAAGAATTTTTTTACTTGTGCATGAAAATTGAGAAAAAGCTCTTTCTGATCCTCAAAATTGGGCTATTAAATGCAGATATATGAAACGAAACACGTTCAATGCCATGGATTTCTTCAAATTATCCTCATATTTTCATTATGACTTTTAATCTTAGTATTTGAGAAGAATCACCAGCTTGTTTTCCCTTTCCATTCAGTGGTCCTGGTGTACCTGAGTGAGTGCCATTTCTATGAAAAACAATTTTTAAAAATTGGTGCGCCAAATGCTGGTTGAGCGAAGCACCGCAGATCAAAAGTGTTTGAAAAGGGTTGTATAGGACACTCGGTATAGTGTGCACTCTGGCACCAAAGGCGTTAAATCTTTAAAACTTATAAATTCTGCAACTCCGTGAAGAAAGTTCAAAGAGCGCGAAAGTTGGGGTTTATACATAACCCCATAATTTCCGGACTTTTCTGCACTTTCACTTTTGAGAATTTTCTAGCTCCGTCAGATTGGGTCCCAGTCGAGGAAATTTTTGGTCTCTACTCAGTTTTCTGCTTGAAATTGAATGGACTTGGTTTCAGAAAAATTAAAATTTCATGACTTAACTTGGTTTCTCGAGCCGCTCATGGACCTTCTCTTCACGAACTTGTAGGCGGAATTCCTTACAAAAGCATAACGTACCAGCACATTCTGAATCTGCAAGGAAAGCTGAGCCTAAATTGATGAACAAGTGTGAATAAGAAATAATTTTCATATTGTACGTTGAAAATATATGAATATCAAGGTTAGGGTGTTTTATTTATGATATAAAAAAATCTCTGGAATGCACATAGTGTTCAAAATGTCTAGGAAAATGACAATAAAAATACGTTGTCACTATTTAAATCGAATAACAGCGCCGTTTCTATCATACTCCCCATTAAACGCCCAATTATTCCATCCTTGATCACCTTCGTTAATCCATTCCCCACTTGCACCAAAGTAAATATTGAATCGATGTACTTGGCGATCATCCCTGTGCTCCTCACCAGCCCATCCACCAAGCTGCGCCGGACATCCATTTCTGATGATAATCACATTGCTACGATTGCTAAACTCACTGAGCTACATTTTCATAGTGGTTCCCCCATATTTTGCTAAAAATTGGGTAGCGAACTCTAAAAAGAAGAGTGTAATTTGAGTAACTGACTTGCCCTGTTTTCGTTAATCATTAGCTCCCCGTTTTCCTCATTAAAAGAACATAAGGTACCGATAACGGAAAAAAATATAAAAAAATACGTCATCACTACCTTATGTTCTTTTAATGATGAAAACTGGGAACTAATTAAGGGAAAAAATACATTAAAAATATCTTTCTTTAGCATACAGAGAAAAAACCCAGCAATTTCTTCCTCTCCTATTTTTTCGTTTACGTAGTGTCATGCTTTATTAGATTAATTTAATCATTTTTTGTTAAGTTTAAAGGAAATCCTTCCTTTTTTCCCTCAGTCTCATCGCTCGCACCTTAACGCTTTTATCAGGGTATACTTGTAATGTTAGCGTTATCACTACCTTATGTCGAAAAAAAGAGCATTGGCCGGACAGTTAAGAGAGAACTGGCATTTTGGACAGAGAGAATGGGTGTTATCTGAAACACATATTGATGACTCCAGCCGCTGACAAGCATCCAAACCAGTTCAACTACACGTTTCGAAATAGAAGACGTCTTTCGGCGCATGTTTCTGCAAAATATGTCTGTTTTGTGAACTTCTGGTTTTACGAATACTACAGAGTAAGCGTTTTTCTTTTATATTTCAAATGCATGTACGATAGCAATGAATTTTACAAATTCAACAGCGAATACCTTTTCGTAAGATATGGAATTTTTTTCAGAAGTCTATCCGAAAACATGATGAGTATGCAGTTCAAAAACTTACTTCTGTAAGTTCCTCAGTTCAGTAGTTTGTGCCTCTGTCTCATAATTTATATTTAACAGGCATACCATGTTCAATTCCTGAAGAAGCTGTTCTTTTTTTCTTCTCGTTCGAAGTAGACCTATTGCTTGCACAGTTTTACTCCGACGGTTTTTCTAACGATTTTAAAACCGTCATATTACAACCATAGGAAACAAAAGCACGAACAACGAAAACCGGGAAAAAACCATGCCAAACTGGCTCCGAGAAACCGCGTATAAAAACTCTCATGAGTTTTACGGTAATTGTTTACTTCGTGTACATTCTGAAAAATTCTTTTTTTAGAACCTAGAAAGAGTTTCTAGTTTTGTAACCATTTCGAAATCTTTTTAAAGTTCCTTATGAAATAGGTTTAGTACTTAATCATTGATCAGAAAAAGGTAGCAGGCAGGAATTCCTGCTGTCCACTTAAGAAAACTGTTTGAGTTCAGGTGGTTACAAGTTAGAAAAAGTCGATCCTTTCATTTTTTGTTAAATTTAAAGGAAATCCTTGTTTTTTCCCTCAGTCTCATCGCTCGCACCTTAACGCTTTTACCGGGGTATACTTGTAATGTTTTATATCAAATATGTCTTTGCAACAGTGCATGACTAGCCGATACTGTTAAAGTTTGTATCTAATGTGTATCTTTTCGCCAAACACAGGCTTATACTTTTCAAAACTGTGATTGAGGACAAAAAAGTGCTTTTAATTATCTATTTAATAGCAGCGACATTTTAGCTTCGACAACGTTTCTCTGTATATTCAGCAGCTTCGACCAGTCTACCAAGTCAATGTTTTTCGTATTCAACCAATAATGATTCAACACGGAATGTAGCTTATGGTTCTGGTTTGTTGTGTGATAATTCGTTAGTAACCGGTTGGTATCGCTTTGTCCAACCAGCTGGTACGATGATTGTTGCAAGTGTTACAAATGTATATCAATGTAGCACAATTGCCCCCGGATGGTTAAATTCGTCATATCCAACAACATTAGGACAAGCTGTAACTGGATATGTGTGTTTGAATGTTGGTGGTGTGATATGTCAATATTCATATCCCATTTTGATAACAAATTGTTCTTCGTTTTATGTTTATTTTCTAGCACCTGTAACAATATGTTATGCTCGATATTGTACTACGTAATCGTTTTGCCTGGAACTTCGCCATTATTCTTTTTAAACGCAGAACATTGATCATGAATGATCTTTGTAGGCTTTCCATTACCAATAATTTTATAAGTCTGTGATTATTGAAAGTAGCCAATTTCTTCTGAAATCTTCTCTAAATAAAATTTTTGCAAACACTTGCTATACTTTTGCTGGTTTTATCGATCGGCAGGGCTACATATTTTTTGTGTCACCTCACTCATTCAAAACTGATTGTTTAGTTTTGCCTGTATGAGATATATGCTCCGCTAGTAGATTCTCTGTTTCTTTAGTTTGTGGATACGAGCCGTCACCTGCTAAAGCCGTTCTACATTCCACTGTTTAACTACATTAGTGCTGATTTTCCTCTCCTCGAGTTATTCTTGCATACTTCGTAGCTGGATGAGAAACAA